GTAAGTCAAACATATTTTTTTCAATCTCTACAATCCATCTTTGTATTAAGCGTCAACAACAACTTTTTTCATGTATTTAATAATAAAAAACCAATTAAAATGTTATTTTTTTTTGAGGTTATGATCGTTTTTATTAATCTAAATGTCAACTTTAAGAAAATAGGAAATTGCCGTTTTTGTTGGAGTTTGGAATCAGCTGTTAAAAATCTGTCCACAATATTATTTACAGTTCCTCACAAAATTCAGAATACAGGGAATTGAAGATAGATAATTATAAATGTTTCAAATAATAATTTATTTCAAAGTTTGTGATGTATATTACACTGTGTACATAAAGTAAGGAATCAATTCCTTAAAAATTCAGGGGATGCTCTTCCAGAAAAAAGGCTTGGACATTTATGTTATTTGTTTTAACACGCATTTTTTGAGATAAAAATTTGAAATGTACAGGTGTCCCAAAAGCCGGGTTCGCCCAATTTAATGATTTAAACCAATCGGGCAAATAAAACTAAGACAAACACAAACAATATATACATAAAATCAAAAAGAAAACAATACTTACAGGAATTATAAAGTTTATAAATACAAATTTTCTAACTTTTTCCACTCCTCATTTGTTGCACACATTGGAGTGGACGAGCTCAAATGTTGTGAAAACCCCACTCTATTGAAGCTAAAGAACAAACAACACATAAAAATTGTTTTAAAGTTAGAAGAAGTTTCTCAATATGAGGAAGATTCTTTTGTGAAATCCACCATTGCAAAGCAGTAGCAATGGATATAACTTCCTTGCAGAAAATGGTACCATTTTTGCCTCTAGCTTAACTATTAGTGGTAGTAATCCAGTATTAATATATCCCTAAGTGTGTTCCTAGCTTGATTTTTCTCTTTCATTGACAATTTATAATTTACTCCTCCTGGTTTAAAAACAGAGTATAGTTTTAAACTAATCAGATACTTTTTGTAACAAAAACATTAATTATTAATAAAGACAGTAAGAGTTTCGAAGTCAATAAAACGTTCATAATTAAGAAGATATTACATTTATTCACAACAGTTTATCAATCGTGTATTTTCGTTAAAACGTCATTTAAATTTTCAACACATCCAGAATTAAAACTTTAATATATTATATAGCTGGAACTTGGTTACAATTTACAACATGGCCACATTTCATGTAATCATTTTTGTGGTGGGGGTTAATTCAGTTTCCAGTTAATACACAATTCACTTTAATATTTAAAAAAGGTATAAATTCTTACTTAACTTTATTTATTTCTAGGTTAATTTTTCAAGAATATTTCATATTTCATGATAAATTGATTTTTGATGTAGTGGGGACAATAAAATTTCCACTCCACATCTTAATATATACCGCGATGCGTAAATATATAAGAAAAGATTATTAATATATATTAATTTATTCAAATCAAATTTAAGCACTTAATTAAATTTATTAATTCGCATGGCAACATTAACATCGAGGTTAATGTTGCAATCTTAAAAGATTAACTCGACTTTTTAGCCACGCTGTATATAATAGCAAATAGATCCATGTGTTGATTTTTATTTTAACTAGTTCTAAATATAATTACGATAGCAAGATTCGTTTAAGAATTGCATTAAAAACTTATTGAAGATTAAGTCGTAGATGAAACGAACCCCGTGGTTTTGTAAAATTTAAAAAAAACGAACGAGAAATTCGTGCGAAATCCTTGTTATGACGGTTGTGTTTCGGCACAACCGAAAGTTACAAATAACGAGCATGCCGTATCGGAATTTCGTTAAAACTAGTTAAAAGTCGATCAATAAAGTTTCTATGTATCGGTATTTACCTTCTCTTCGGTCCTCAAACGGCTTATTTTTCCATAAACTTTAATTTTCTAAGAGCACAGAAACACAACACGAATAATCTGTTGTACCGCGCATGCGCAAAATGTACTTACTATATATAAAGGGTAAGGGGGGTAAGAGGTGTATGGAGGAGTACCACTAAATGGTTCATGGCGTACAAAATAAAATATTTAAAACAACATTTAAATCGGATTCATTTGAATTTTAATGGGTCATATTTTGTTGTTTTAATTTTCTTTTAGTTGTGATTCTTTAAATAATACCTACATTAGAACATTAAAACACATACATACCTATTAGAATTGTACACCTACTTACTATTAGTAGTTATGCAATAAAAACTAATTGATAACACACCAAAGTTAAATAATTTTCCAATTCATTTCTGATTATTACGTTATGAAGAAATAAAGGAATCTACTTTGTGCATTAATTTTTATCTTTTGTAACGCGAACATATCTATTAATATCTAATTTTTTTTCTTTTGTGATATATTAATTTAATTTGAGTGAATATAGTAATGAATTCTTATTGTTAGATCATTTGTTCTCTAAAAGAAAACAAAACAATATCGATAAACATTAAAGAGGTCACGTGAACATTAAACAAGTTTTATATCAAATTAAATGATATGAACACGCCTAAAAATACCTTAATGATAAAACTTTTCGTAAAACTTAATTTAATATTTCCTTTTAATTGTCTCACAAAAAAAAATAATAAAAACTCAATACTACAAGGTCATACAGAAAATGCGGCGAGATACAATTTCAATCTTACCGTTTTTATAAATAACTCGTTTTAACACACACGTTTACAGTGTTTATAATAAATTGTTAAAGATCAATGTGAAAGTTTGAATTAAAACGGGCTAATAGATTAAAAACATAACATGAAACCGAGAAAAAATTTAAGTGTAAATAAAATTGGGTTGGGTTCGGAATGTATTGTGTTGGATTTCTTTGTGTAATTTTTGAAAAACTAATTTAACAAGAACATCAAAATTAATAAGATTAATCAAAAAATAAATATTAAATTCTATGATGTTCTTACCTTTCTAACCGCGCATGTGCCGTTCGAAACTAGAAGTAAAAACAGCAAAGTGTTCTTGATTGTGCCCCCACTATTTGAATTATATTATATTTTTGACATATTCCGCCTGAGAGTTGTTTTGCTTGCCTACGTTCTCGTTGCTTTTCATTTTAGAGTTTGCGTACTAACTAAAACGGTTGTTGAACGTTATTGAAAAATATGTCTACATCTCGAAAGTCTCAAGATTGCATCGATTCCATCGCCGTTTAAAATCAACCTTTAAACCACAACAATCGACACACAAATTCAACGTAAGTCAAACATATTTTTTTCAATCTCTACAATCCATCTTTGTATTAAGCGTCAACAACAACTTTTTTCATGTATTTAATAATAAAAAACCAATTAAAATGTTATTTTTTTTTGAGGTTATGATCGTTTTTATTAATCTAAATGTCAACTTTAAGAAAATAGGAAATTGCCGTTTTTGTTGGAGTTTGGAATCAGCTGTTAAAAATCTGTCCACAATATTATTTACAGTTCCTCACAAAATTGAGAATACAGGGAATTGAAGAGAGATAATTATAAATGTTTCAAATAATAATTTATTTCAAAGTTTGTGATGTATATTACACTGTGTACATAAAGTAAGGAATCAATTCCTTAAAAATTCAGGGGATGCTCTTCCAGAAAAAAGGCTTGGACATTTATGTTATTTGTTTTAACACGCATTTTTTGAGATAAAAATTTGAAATGTACAGGTGTCCCAAAAGCTGGGTTCGCCCAATTTAATGATTTAAACCAATCAGGCAAATAAAACTAAGACAAACACAAACAATATATACATAAAATCAAAAAGAAAACAATACTTACAGGAATTATAAAGTTTATAAATACAAATTTTCTAACTTTTTCCACTCCTCATTTGTTGCACACATTGGAGTGGACGAGCTCAAATGTTGTGAAAACCCCACTCTATTGAAGCTAAAGAACAAACAACACATAAAAATTGTTTTAAAGTTAGAAGAAGTTTCTCAATATGAGGAAGATTCTTTTGTGAAATCCACCATTGCAAAGCAGTAGCAATGGATATAACTTCCTTGCAGAAAATGGTACCATTTTTGCCTCTAGCTTAACTATTAGTGGTAGTAATCCAGTAATAATATATCCCTAAGTGTGTTCCTAGCTTGATTTTTCTCTTTCATTGACAATTTATAATTTCTGTTTGTAAAATTTCTGATAAATTTGTATTTGAGACAGTGATAATTTCAATTTTTTGGAATGAACTTACTAATTTCTTCCACAGCATCATATAGAGAAGCACCTTTTTTGCAATTTATCAAGTCCTCAGAATATTAGCTTTAAGACATTTAAGTAATCTCTTCTGCAGATCATTTGAGATCAATATTAGAAACTTTTTGGTATATTTAGGTATACATATATTGTAGGATCAATTTCTTTTTATTTCACACAGTTTTTACAGTTTTTCTCATTAACTTACATGTATTTGCATACAATCCACTATATTGTTTCACCTCACATCGTTTGAAACGTTTCCATCAGTATATACAAGCCATATACTTAGGAGTTAGCCAGGTTATTGTTTCTAAAACAATCTCTTTGACTTTAGTTACTTCAAAATCTGTGCAAAGCAAATTTCGAAATTGAGCTGAGCATCTATAAGTTATAACAGAACCATTAAAGCTTAAGCTTCTGATCTATATCTGTTTTTATTTGAAACACTTCTTGTGCCTGGCAGTATCTCAAACTATTGATAAATTCATGCTGGACTCTAACAATTGTTTCTTTACTAAGTTGTCAAGCGACTCAAGTTTAGTTTTGTAGATCCAGGATCTTAATGGCCATTCAATTGATGCACGCCTTTCATCTGTTAGCAAATGCCACTTTATCGAGATATTGCTTAATGTGAACTGCATAATGTGGTGGTGCGCCATCTTGCATATACTTATCATAAATTTTCATCATGTAGCATTCGGTCACTCATTAACCAGTCATTAGCACTGGCTAATCTTTTAAATTGAGGAATAGACATTGTTGTAAGAAATCAAACAAGTGGGCCAATCTGGGATTTTCTATACAGACAGTTTTGTCTATTATACGCCATTTTTTCGAAGACAACTGAATATCGATACAGGGTGTGCTACATGAAATATACTTAGAATTTTGGGACACCGGTGGTATTTTCATAAATATGTCTTACATAAAATGCCATTTTGAAAATGTCTGTCGATTCATCCAATTGAATTGCGAATTTTGAGCTATTTTTAAGCCTCTTAACAAGTTGTTGAAATTGATAATTGCTCATATCTGAAATTCTTTATGACAAAGTGTCATTCGTTAAAGGTATTTTACGAAATTCAACGCCATACTGTTTCCATAAATAATTTCGGACATTTTTATAGCTACAGGTAGAGTAAAAGTTTTCCTCCAATAGTAAATGGTCCGTGATAATTCTTGATAATGCGCATGTTTCGTATTCAAATGCCGTTGTAATTTTGACGGTTTTATGCTTTCGTGGCTAAAATTCCAGCAAGACGGTTGTGATGGTGGCGACCTAGTAGGTTGAAATATATATCTCTAATCAATATACACTCTTCTAATCAAAATAATAAGTTAAAAATAATTATTAAACTATCACTGCATAACACAAACATTAAGCGCTGTGGTACCCAACTGGGCGAATAAGCAGGTTCAAACATGCATACACTCGCCAGCATTACTACCCGTCCTCTCTCTTCAGTTGTGACCTCAAGTCTCAACTCAACCTCAACTGTATTATACAATCTTATTAATTATCTACATAATGTTTGTCTCACATTTGGAAATTTCGCTTCCCTTATACACTCACGTAACAAACAGATTTATATTTTTTTTGCAAATTTCTCCATAATATCTTTCCCACAATGAGCTTCTTACCATTCCATCACTTTCAGTTTTAGCATGGTCTAAACTTATGTTATCAATTTTTTTGTCGATTAACCTTTTGGCTTATAACCACGAGTGAGATTCATAACGAATTTGTGCCATAGGAGAAAATCACAAGTCTGACTTGTGGTAAAGAATTTGTGCCATAAGCAAAAACGAGTCTGACTCGTCGTAAGGAATTATGCATTTTGCGTAAGTTTGGGCAAACAGGTGGTTAATTCAAGGGGTTAACTCATAATCTGCACCAATTTATATCTATATCCATCCACTCGTCGTTATATCTTGCTTAAAGTATCCTTTGAAAAAATTTCTTTGCATTTCCATTCTGCCTTCAATAGTAGTGAAAAAACTCTGGTTAAAAAACTTTGGAAATCATTGTAGTTGTAGGCAAATTTTTGACAAATGTGAGAGGGCTACTTTAGTCTATGTACCTGTGAGAGGTACATTAGACTAAAATATTTATATTGAAACAGAACTAAACCTTAGTATACAAAAGTTTTGTTGTGCAAAATTAAACTTAGGAGAGTTTGTTGAAGTTTAGATAGGAACTAAAGGTTCTAGAGCAGTTTCTAAATGATAATCTAAGTCTGGTGTGTAATTTTATTTAAACTTTTTCATCGTTTCTTGTGAAAACCTAACGTTATAATTTAACATTTATATGTATAAACCACGCTAAGAAATTACAATTTCACCTCACTTTGACATTAATTGTATTGATTCTAGGTTAAATACGTTTATGAGCGAATTTCAAGAAAAACAAAAAAGTTATGAATTGTATTTTTTGTGTCAAAAATCCATTTCTATCACAATAATTATTTGTTTTCAGATAATTTTTGAAAAGATCATTCAAATATAATGGGTGGTGCTGTAAGTACTGGTCAAAATAACGATGACCTGATAGATAACCTCATTCGGGCGGATTACATTCGTTCTCGCAAAGTGGAGAAGGTGTTTCGAGCCATCGACAGGGCGGATTACTTCTTACCAGATGCTCGTCAAGATGCCTACAAGGATCTTGCCTGGAAAATGGGGCATTTACATCTATCAGCGCCGTGCATTTACAGCGAAGTTATGGAAGGGTTATGTCTCGAACCGGGGTTGAGTTTTCTCAATTTAGGTTCTGGAACTGGCTATTTGAGCACTATGGCCGGATTGATTTTGGGCAGTCACGGCATTAATCATGGCGTTGAGATTCACGAGGATGTTATCGTGTACGCAAATAAAAAATTGGAGGATTTCAAAAAATTTTCAGGCGCAATCGATGAGTTTGATTTTAGCGAACCCAAATTTATTCAAGGTAAAAAAAAAACGTTTCTTTTAACATTAAATATCTTACTTTAATCATTTTTTAAGGAAATTGTTTATGTCTTGCAAACGGTCGTCAATATGATCGCGTTTATTGCGGAGCATCTTGTCCTGAACAATACGAAAGTTATATGAAAAGTCTTTTAAGAGTGGGTGGTATTCTAATAATGCCTTTAAATGATCATTTGATGGAAATAAAACGCGTGTCGCAAGTGGAATGGGTCGATCGCACTTTAATTCCTGTATCATTTGCCACTTTGATTCTTCCACCTGAAGGAAACCAAGATATCGTCGAATTACGTGAGTTTTAATACTTCCTGTTTTTCTTTTTGGCTATTTTTGATGTCCCTTGAATTTCTAATTTTATTGTCTGTTGGTTTATTTTTAATTTTACGTCGCAAGGTCTTTTGGCACGACTACCAAAAACAATATCTAGGCGATGTGTTAGGTAATTGGGATGAATGAAATTTTTCAATGATTTCGCTCAAATTTCAACGATTTTTTAAAATTTTTACAGTTTTAATTGATATTGATATAAACAATGCGATCACTTATTGTTTTTGGTTTGTTTTGATAAAATTATCATTATTATTTTTAATCAGCCTATTGATAAAATTCAATTGTAGTTTATGGTAGTTGTAGTTAAGCATTTTAGATAGTGCTTGATTATAGCTTGTTATAGTACCTATAAGAAGACGTTATAGTACAATACCTATTTAGGAATTAAATTAAATTAGAATCAAAAATAGATTTAAAGTAAAGGTATTTTTTTTCTAGTTGAAGTCAGTCCTTTAAGTTTACAATTCCTAACACGTACAGTGATTCGTTCCATATTGCGGACTAATATTGAAATTGAAAATCCATCATTAACAGCACCAAAACCAAAAGTAGTACCAATTGCAAAATATAAACGTCGCGATCGTACTCTAAAAAAATTAATTGTCCCTATTTTTGATGAAACTGATGAAGATTTATACAGTTCTGGGGACGACCAATACAGTTCTGATGACGGTCTTGGCCGAAATACACATTCCATTAGACCACGAACGGCCGATAACATAATCGATATCGTCATGGATCATTTGGGATATAGAGTACATAGAGTAAATAGACCTCAAAATGCTGATGATAGCGATGTTAGTGTTGAAGAAATTGGTCTACGTATGGCCGATTCAGTTGATGCTGTTTCAAGTGATGTTGATGAAGATTTAGAAAATGTTTTTGATAATAGAGACGAAGAAAATTCGCCGAAATGTGAAAATGTTCTTGAATCCGAACGAAAATTAGAAACTGAAAATGTTGAAGATGATGATAATAACGATCGAGAATTGAATGATAATCATCCTGGTACTAGTTTTAATACTAAATCAGGTGGTAAAAGTGGAAAAGAAACTAAAAAAGATGCTAAAAAAGATACAAAGAAAGATACCAAAAAAGATACTAAAAAGCAAACTAAAAAGCAACCAAGAGAAAAATATGATAGTGGTTTTGTTGAAGAAATGGACCAAGAAGCTATTGTATCAAAACAAGAAGCAATGGATTTATCTGACCCTGATAGTATGGGAGTTGCTTCAAGTTCGAGTAGCGAAGATAGACAAGGAAGGAGGTATAAACGATGCTCAAGGTTTCATCCAGATTCATCAGGGCCGAAAAATCGAAAAGTTCTTCCTGCGATGGTTTTCGATAATAGTTCTGGAAGTAGCTGTCTTAGTAGTGATAGTGAAGTAGCTGAAGAGAAAACGGCGCCTCCTACGGCTACTTCTTTAACGGTTACAAGTATGTACACGCCTTTAATGCGTGAAAAATTACAAGAGTTGCCTTTGCCTTCAGTACTGAAGAATTATTTGAATTATTATCGGGAATTTTGAGTAATTAATTAATCAAGTAGCGGGAAAGATCCGATTAAGCGAGTATTAATGTTTAAAACGATGTTTTTTTAGGAAATAGTTTTTATGTAAAACGTTTTTAAATATTTTTATATGATTATATTTTCCAAAAAAAAAGATTGTTAAAGAATGGAGTGAAAGAAGAACCACTTTTCGAAGTTTTTCATATACTTGTACTCGTTGTGGCAGTGTTACTCTTTCGGATAAGGCGCTATGGTTAAAAAACAAAGCCATATGTGATGATGAAATAGTTTATTTATGATATAGAATACGTATTTTTATTTGATTACAATATTAAAATGTTATATTTTTTTCCGTCGTATGTATATATAAAATATCGATTATTAATAAAAAAAAAATGGATTCAAGGATTGTGATTACTGTGTCCTAAGTTACTTTTAAGTTTTAGATTAAGTTGGTCTCAAGAGTTATAACAACGATAACAGTTACATTTTTGTTCTCTTTGTGCATTACTCATCATATCAATTTGTTCAATAAAATGTTAAGCTCAATATTGTAATGTTTATTTTTTGTATAATTCGAAAATATTTAAACTTAATCCTACCTATATTACATTTCTAAAAATTTTCAGGTTTTGTTTTCAGAGAAGTTAATTACATAAAAAAATTTAAAGGTTGGTTATTATTACTATTATTGTTCTTATTTAAGCATTTTTTTTTAAATATTGCAGTTTGATGCAATTGCATATTAAAGTTTATATTATTTTGCTAAGTTACTAGACAAAATCTGTGTTATTTCAAAGATATAATGGAGCTTAGATAATTCAATATCTAATGGAGAAAAAATCATAAATGCAGGACAGACTCAGAGAAAAGACGGGTTTTCAATATAAATAATAGTTAATAAATGATAGTTTAAATAATATAATCGAATTAAGATTGCGCTTGAGTACAAGTTGAAAACATCTGGTCTAAGTGTTACAATTAAAAAGTACGAGACAACCGATATTAACAAAAAAATCAACACAATGTATTATTAAAATAAAAGAAAATAAACTTAGATTTTTTTCAATAAAATATATTTAACCTGACTCATTTTTACATTAAACTATCGAACGAAAATAAAAAGATAACAAAAACTAAATGCATATTAAAAATATAACATAAACATAACTGAACAAATTAAAAATATAGAGTATACACCAACAGAAGAGGATCCTGAATCTGAAACAATACAACAAAATATAATAACTGAAATATTTTAATAAAAAAAAACATACCGCTTTCAACTTTACCGCATTGATTTATATCTTCTTTAAATTCAAAATCCTCCATGCAAAAGCAGCTAGAATTTAAACAATGTGATCCTTCGCCCAAAGCTTTTTCACATTGTACATTTTCGGTACATCGTGCGAAAATAGTTTTGGCTGGTGCGAAGCAAGATTTTTCGGAAGTGATGAATCCTTCTTTGCATTGGCAAACATCTTTAACACATTGACTGTTGGTGATGGAACATTCCTTGCTTTTTTTGCATGACTCTCCTAAACCTAAATGAAAAAAAATTAAATTAAAAATAATTTTTTTTGTGTAAAAAAAAAATTACTTTTATTTTCGTAGCAAATACCATCTTTTTCGTGTGTGTTTAAAGAACATTGACACGTGTTATTTTTACAAATGGCGTTTAAAATGATGCATTGAGCCGTATCTGCGCATTCGGAACCAAGAAGTTTTGGAATAGCTAATAAAAATGCAAAAAAAAATTAAAAGAAAATTATTATTTTGTGTATTTTTATACCTTTAACACATTGTTTCTTATCTTCAGCAGGGATCCATCCAATTTTACAATCGCAAATTCCATTTGTGGAACATTTCGAATGTTCGAAAACACAATCATCATCCGTAATACAAGTTTCGCCGATTTTATTCGCATTCGCTGGCTGTTTCAGGTGCAGGAGGCTACAACCATTCTCAACCATACATTTGCATTCATAATTTAGACATTTCGAGCCAGGAAGGACATCCGAACATGTGGCGTCCGCAATGCATGGTACGACGACATTTTCCTCATCTATTAAAAAAAAATGCGTTAAAAAAATTAAATAATGATTTAAAAGTGTAATAGAATATTACTTAAATAACTATAAGCGAAAGATCGCACGGCGAAATTAATCGAAAAAATTAATGTTAATGCAGCTCGATTTGCAATCATTTTCGTTCAATGGCTTCACTACATCTGAAGAGAAGATTAGACTTTGAAGGAGGTTGTCGAAAACCGGCCCGGAAAATTTATAAAAAATCGGATGTTCGTATAACTTTTAAGGGGATCGTTTAAATTTAAAAATGTAACGAGATTGCTATCATTTTCATCGATAAAATGGGCATTAACTTTGAAGATCCTTAAAAATTATTAAATATGAATTTTATTTAATACTTGAATTGCCCAAAAACAGGTATTAAACGTGCAAACGTTAATTTAGGTTAGATATTTAAGTTTTAGATAAACTTAAATTCAAAAAATTACAATTACGTTTAAAGTGGAGATTTTTAGTTTTAATTTGATATATAAATTATAACTTATTATTCAAAAATAAAACGAGAAAGATGCGAGTCGTAAAAATTAAAAAATGGTGAAATGTATATAAAGAAATTGTTGAAAGTAACATATTTGAAACTTGGGGAAGAAGGGTTCGTGAAGAGAATAGACACTTAGTAATTGCATTCCTCCATGCTAATACAGCCTGACCGACGAGGAGGATAATTGCCTTGAATTCCTCATCAGCGTATCCTTGGAGGAGTTTCAATGTCCCGTCACCCCTTACAGTTCTGTTTAGGGGGATGGAAAATGGAAATAAGGTCATGTATACTACCTACGTATTGAAAGCGGAACCATCATTTTATCTCTTCAATATAGCGTGGGTTTAAAAATTAATGGTTAACATTAATTGTAATAATACTTTTCAAGAATATTTGATACTGTTTAGTAGCAAGTATTTGTATGTTGTTCCCTGGAACAGTTACTGAATTTAAAAAATAGTAGGTATTAAGTACTAGTTTTATAAATTTTAATAAAAAATAAATAAATTTTTATTTTCTACCATAGAAAATAATTTCATTACAAAAAAATTTTAAAATTTATCACTCAGAACAGAACTAAAATCTAAGAAAAATCTATATTACTAAAAACTGGTGATAGATAAATATGAAATAAGTATGGATTATGATTTCTTGGTGCATTAGGAATATTTTTTATTCACAACGTCTTTCTCCATCAGTTTTAGTACTTATGCTGTAGTTGATTTTATTAAGAAAAATTGTCCAATTTTGACATTTTGTGGTTTATGCTCTTCAAGTGATTGCCGACAGTACTTCACTAACGATGATGTAGTTCAATGTCTACTAAGTAAGCGTTAGCATAGCCATATCAGTGCAGATTACAACGTTTCTGCCAACTTTTTAGGAGTCAATAATCACATTAGCTGCTATATCTATATCAGTTATTTCGGCCTGAGCAGTCGTGCAGTCTGACTCTAGTGAAATGGAAAAGTGCAGCTGGAGATCGTATGAGAAAGTTCTCACTCTGGAGCCTCCAGACGAGATTCATAACGTCTTTCTCCATCACTCATTACTCTTTTAGTACTTAGGTTCGATAATATACTTCATTTAATTAAGAAAAATATTAAAATTTTGAGATTTTGGGGATTTATGCTATATCATTAGGAACAGAGGAACAGTTGTTCCATATACAGTGTGTTAATTAATTATCGTACCCGACGTCATTATTACAAGTATGCAACCAATATCACAGTATTTTTATTGCAATATGCGATTTGTGTATGATGTATATTGCGCTGTGATATTGGTTGCATACTTGCAATGATGACGTCGGGTACGGTAATTAATTAACACATTGTACATGTTATTTTTAACTATATAGGAGAACAATATTGTACCTGTTCTCCAAAAATATTAGTTTATAACATCTTTAATATAAACAACCATTCCTGCTATGAATTAAAAAAACGTTATTAATATCGCATAGATAACAACGCCATCATTCCGAGATATATTTCCTCTAATACTAAATAAAAAACAAATGTGCGTAAAGTTTTAGTTTTAAATTCGTTGGATTTATTAATAACACATTTTTTTGTTATTCTTACTAAATATTACCTAAAAACATACAGTATCTATAATCTAAAATAGAATCCATTCGAACTGATCTGAATTAATAAATACATCATCATAGTTAGTACTTGACCATTTTAAAAGTAATCGAAGTAATCTTTTAATAGCTCAACCTTGAGACTCGAGAAGATTCATTGCCAGGACTCCGATTATTTTTAAAATAGCCACCGAGAGTTTGTTCTTTAGTTTTAATACATTTAACGTTCGTAATAAACTATATGCCCATAAAAATAATAAGTGCGATAGAATTAACAATTATTATAAAATCGGTGCGGGCGCTAAAAACGTTTACAGTAATAGGATTATTGACTCGCTTTTAGAGACCCGGATATAAATACAAAGTAGTATTTATATAAAAGCTCCTCTTGTGCGCACGCGCTAACATTAAAGTTTTCCACCGCCGACTTGACGAAGTTATCATGTTAGTTTTTTTAATCCATATAACTAAACGGATAACATTTAAAGATACTTATCGAATATTTCCTGATGATTAGAAGATATTTTTGATGAAGACTGATTGATTTTAATGAAGTTTTAGACAAGTTTTAGGCATAAAATCGGGAGTAGCAAAACGTCCGCTCGGTAACAAGTGAGGGTTGCAACTGGAAAATCAGAGTGTGCCGTGCGAAAAGTACTAAAGAACAATGTGGAGGAGAGCGTGCGACGTCCGTACGGTTATTGATTTTGTCCGTAGACTGCGCAACAGACTATTTTATAACTAAGTACTTCCATATTGGATCATGCTCCGAGTGTTCGGGCTTCGAAAACTTTTTTACACCCTTCTCCGTCTCTGTTAACCAACTTGCGGACAAGTTCGCAAACTGCGTGCGGACTTTTAGAGGACTGATTTTTGTGCGGTTTTCGACGCGTATAATCTACAGAAACGGTTGTCAGGTGAGTATTTTGATTGTTTTAAACAAGTTTCGATAACTTTTGCGCCGGTTTCGCGCACTCTCGCCGCTGTTTCTCCGGGTTGTTTTCCGATGGAGTTTTGTTAGGTTAGGTCTTCTTCCGTGTTAGGCATGTGACGTGAAGGAAAATTAAGTGTGGAAATTTCTCTCTCTCGACGGCGCGACGAGTTCGTCGTTCGCGTGTTCCTACAAGTTTCCCCTATCGTGATTCATCCTCTTCCGCGGTGATTACTATCGATTCGATCTCGAGGATTTTCGAGATGATGAGGGCTCCCCTTTTTAGAGCCACCTGTTATTATTTATACGTTAATATTGATGTAGTCGTTAGCTTTTTTCTTTTACTTTTATTATTTTTATGATTACTTTTTAAAGAGAAAACTCTTTAACAAAGTTTTTCCAATTCTTTCCAGAATGCAGAAACATCGGTATCGTTAGCATCACTTTTGCTACATGTTCTAAAAGATGGACTCTTTTCATTCAAAAAGTTAACTAAGTGACACTGACTCATTGCAAAGATTCGTCACAACTTGCTGAGTTGCTCATATATATACAGGATGTTTCATAATATGCGCAGGACTTCAGGATGTGATAGCTTGTCCAAAAATTTGAAAAAAAGTTTCTATCAACTTACTCTCTAAAATGCACCATTTTCGAGATACAGGGTACAAATTTAATAAAAAAATCGGCGTTTGTAAGCATTTTCTACTCATAATAAGCTAAGTTGGAAGTAAGGGTAGTAGTTATTGTGAAAATTGAAAATATCATCCTTCGAGAAAGATGCTTCATCGGTAAACAGAACTTCGGCTCCAAACTCAGGATTGTGAGCAAAAAAAAGCGCACAAAAAACCAATCTTGGCGGAAAATCTCTTGGCAATAAGGCTTGTACTCTTTGGATATGGATACAAAAGTTGCCTTTTCAAAATTCTCCAAACCGTCGAGTGAGATAGATTTAAGTTATGAGCGATTTTTCTGGTACTTGTGGTCAGATTTTCTTTGATCAAAAGGCGACATTTGAATAAATCTTTCTTTCTGTAGTGTCAGAATTTTCATTACACAGTTATTAAACGGATTTTCTTGAGTCAAAGTGTTATCTTGGAGAGTGATACTGATCAATCACTTGATCTTCCAAGATCCCATCTGACTGATGACTGTTTTCCTTACTTCAATATTTGCAGTTATATTTATTCCCAAATCAAATAACCACCACTAAAACAAATATTTTTACAAATGCATTGTTATTGATCCTAGCCATTCCTTCATACTATCGTACTTTTCTATCAAAATCATCATCAGTTAGCACTTAATGTATTTTAATCTTATCTTCTTCTTCTGCATCGTATTCTTACAACTGATAAGTCGTGATTTTATGTTTATGAGCATTCTTTTACTTTATTCTTCCATAACTTGCGGGCTTGTGCTACTTGAAGTGCGCCTTGAAGTGGATTGTTTGTTATCTTTTTTCCTGGTCTAGTCAATTAGTTGGCAAACTTCCTCTTGGTCTTCTTCCAGACTTTTCCTGACTTTCTTTTGATCTCGAGAATCTCGAGATCTCAATCCTTTTTTTATCCGCTTCTTTGATAGTGATCCAGGATTCTACACCGTATAGGAAGATCGCAAATATAAGCGTTCTAACTAATTTGACTTTTATCCTTTTTGTGATTTATTGATCTTTTTCATATCTTCGTCAAGTTATTCATGGCAGTTTTAACTTTCTTACTTATTTTTAGCTTTTACTATTTTTAACTTATAAGGATGGAATTTGTGAAGTATTATAACTTTATGAAAAGTACTCAAGGAAGTTCCAGTTGCACCAGAAATTTTTGGAAAGGTTGAAAGGTTTTGTGCGCATCAACAAATTTTTACCATTGTTTCTCCATCTACCTATTTTACTTTGATATAAGTTTATCTCGACGAGTCGTCTTTTAATAGTTTGAGAAGATAATCCGAAGGAGTCTTCAGCAATTAATTCACTTTTAACATCCGTTGCAGAGAGCTCTAAATGAGATATAATATGTAGATAAGATATACTTGGTTGCCTGGGCCAAAGCTTGTTCCATCCTTTTTTTGTATAGCATGTAGGACGAATTTTTCAAGTTTAGATTCTTGGAAAACTCAACAACGTCCTCTCTTCATTATCTTACGAAGTCTACGTAGCATATTTTTATCCATTGACTGGATTTAATGGCATGATCATTTCAATCTTTTCATCAATGGAAATTAACTCTTAAAAAACGGATGCGTAAGTAAATTGATCACGATTGAAGACTAATTTTTCCTTGAAGTTTCTAAAGCTTTCAAATTTTCCTGATTTTGTCACAGTTGCAAATGTCTTCCCTAGCCATTGTTGCATACATTTAGTTGAATTTTATCTTGAAAGATTCTGCGGCAGAACTGTCCAAAGATAAACCATCTCCTCGAATAGTCGGTTTCCTTATCCTAATCTTTGATCTGCAATTTTTTAGCAACTTGTCTTTTATGATCCTTGTTGTTTTCCTTCGTTTGAATCTTCCTTTCTCACTTCGCACAACTATTACTGTACAAAAGTCCTACAACTTTAATATATAATATATTTTGCTTTGTTTATAAAATCTACAAAGATTATTTTGACACCACTGAATATTTTGGACATTCACAAGTGTGCGACGATTTTCTGTACTCTTTGTATTTTTTGATATATGAGGAAACTATATGGTTATCATAATCAACACAACTTTTAAAGTTTTATTTTAAGTACAATGTTTATTTAAGCTTATCTACGTTTTATTTATATCATTGATTATTTACACTTATTAGATAATTAAAAGTGAAAAAACACTTTTAATCAGATTTAAAAATTCTATTTATAAATAATTTAATAAACTTTATTATAGAATATTTAACTCAATTTATATTTATATATTCGGTGCCCTTTTCTTTCAATAATTTATCTTAATTTACATAAATATGTATTAGCAGTGCTAAATAAAACTTCAAAAGATACATTCGCCCACTTATTACTATATTTAGAAAGCTTCCTACATTTTTCTAACTCTGTCATAGTCAGTATTATATCAGGGGGTATAGCTCAGTGGTAGAGCATTCGACTGCAGATCGAGAGGTCCCCGGTTCAAACCCGGGTGCCCCCTCAAAATCTTTTTTTTTTTTCTTAACTTCTTTTTTTCTTTTTATTTAATAAAATAAAATAAAAAACAAAACTGATCCAAAATTATTTAATAAACATGTTTTTCTTGTATTTAGGTGTCCAAAATGAGTGGTAATAGTAAAAAAGGTCAAAGTCATTCCATAGAATACCTACTAAGTATTCAACCTTCGACGTCTCGTGGGAGGAGACAAAATGCCCAGGGTAGAAGCGGAACAAACCCGCCAGTTAAAAAGGTAAGTTTCCCAAACTTTCTTGATCAATAAATTCCCGCAAACCCAAATGGGGGTTTTAAGAAACGTACAAATATAAAATTCCCTACTTCCAAGTAGAAATCTAGACATAATAAATCCATAAAAGAAACGACCCTCGATTCGGTTCCACTACTTTCCCCAAGGTGGTGCTGCACGTATTAAATATTCGGTCTTGATTGCGCCGCGAAAGAAGGATTGGGGTCTAAAGGATTTTGGGACGTTGTTAATTGTTCGAAAAGGGTGAAAAGTGTTACGAATTGACGTTTTAGGGCGTTACTAATTATTTACGTCGCACGGTACAACAAAGTTCCATTAAAACCAAGGTTCCACTTTTAAGCCCTTTTCAATAATGGATTTATCACGGTGAAGGGTTGTTTTTTGGAGTGTATTTTGTAAAAACCATTGAGTTTTATTAAGAGACGATTAATTTTTGTTTTTGTTGATTATTGTTTCAATTTAATTTATTACGTTTCTAAACGATATGTAGTTTTTTTTTGTATTAGAAAAGGTTTCTGAAGGGTGAAATTTTAGATTCACCTGAACCAGTCGAGAGATTTGAACAGGCAGCTTCGGTCTCGGCGACTTTATCCCTTTTCTAAAGGCCCCAACCGACTCGACGGCGGGCATAATAACGCCCGCATAATTTATTCGGTTAATTCCTCTCGTTCGCATGTTCGAAAGTTTTGAACAACTTTTAACTCGCCTTTGTTTTGTGTACCGGGTGCCGTTTAGGGGCGGTCGCGGGTTCTGGATTCGCCACCGCTGCCGGTTGGAAAGAGAGAAATTCGAGAGATCCCTTAAATTACCACTGACAACCAACATGATTCAATTTTCGTATTTCTATATTCGAAGTACGCAATGGAATAATCGGCTTTTGTACTTTTTACAAAAATATTATTTGTGTAAAAAGATTGTCTAAAATAACTAATATTATGTTTTTACACATGTATTAAACTTGCGTTACAGTCAGATAATTTTTTGTATATTATCTTTAGTTTTTTTCTTATTAGAACTTAATGCTCACATCAAGTGTAATACCCAAACCAACCCAAACGTATTAATGCCAAGTTATTGAGTCTGTCTTAACCCATGGTTGGTCGTATCCATGTCTTCAACCTTTCTAAACAGGTTGAACTGCATTTGCCAACTTTGCTCATTTCTTGCCCAATATCTAGGAATCACGTTTTATCCTCTTTTGCGTTTGTTCTTAATAGAAGCTGGAATTATGTCAACACATGCCTCATTTTTTTCAACAACACCGTGACTTGTCCATAACCGCCTTCTATGAATCATCTGCTATGCAGACCATGCCATACTAAAAGCGGAGAACGAGGACGACCTACAACGCATTCTGTACAGATTTACAAGACCAGCCGAAAATTGAATATGGAAATAGCGTGTGAGAAGACCAAATCTGTGGTAATCGGTAAAGATCCAGAAAGACCATGTACTGATATTTAACTTTTTGGTGGTAGATACGNACTTACAATTAGACTATGCGAAAATAGGGGGATTGCATATTTTGCTAAAATTTTATTTCTAAGGCCTTTACTGAGTGTATTTTGATAGTGTTTTAATTCTGTCTGATTCTGTCACAAAGTTTCAAAATGTTTGACTTCTTGGGACACAAAGGGTTAAACTTGCGTTACAGTCAGATAATTTTTTGTATATTATCTTTAGTTTTTTTCTTATTAGAACTTAATGCTCACATCAAGTGTGGTACCCAAACCAACCCAAACGTATTAATGCCAAGTTATTGAGTCTGTCTTAACCCATGGTTGGTCGTATCCATGTCTTCAACCTTTCTAAAGAGGTTGAACCGCATTTGCCAACTTTGCTCATTTCTTGCCCAATATCTAGGAATCACGTTTTATCCTCTTTTGCGTTTGTTCTTAATAGCAGCTGGAATTGTGTCAACACATCCCTCATTTTTTTCAACAACACCGTGACTTGTCCATAACCGCCTTCTATGAATCATCTGCTATGCAGACCATGCCATACTAAAAGCGGAGAACGAGGACGACCTACAACGCATTCTGTACAGATTTACAAGACCAGCCGAAAATTGAATATGGAAATAGCGTGTGAGAAGACCAAATCTGTGGTAATCGGTAAAGATCCAGAAAGACCATGTACTGATATTTAACTTTTTGGTGGTAGATACGTCCAGCAACAAGCGGCTGATGGATAATGTGAGGAAATGAGGAAGCGAAAATGTCAGGCTGCCTAACAGATATAATATAATAATAATAATAAATGTGTTTATTAAAGTATTGTCAATAATTAAACCCAAGTTTTTGGCCTGCGACACAATCGGCCAAAACAAAATAATATGGCGCAACAAATACATGGGTGTAGAAAGTAAAGTCTGAATATACAAGATCTGTGCACGATCTGGACTCACCTATATGACCAAGACTAGAATCGCAACATTCCAAACAAAAGTCTAATGATAATTACAGAAATGAGTATGTTAAGAAGTATAAAAGGCATTACAATTCGAGACAGAGTATGAAATGTGGGTATAATGAGAGATCTCGGACGTGATGAGATAGACGAGAAACCACGTTGATAGGATGATCTTGGCACAAATCGTAAAAGTTGAGTCAAAAAACACAAGAATCCAGTTGGAACACTGCCCAAACGCTGGCAGGAAAGGTGGAGATCCTTATCACATGAAGGAATGAGACAGAACAGATAAGACTAAAGTCCCATACTAAGAAGAAGAGAAGATAATCGTGATACGTTCCTAATTTGTTTCAACACTTCTCTCACCTTCAATACCCCTTGATTTCAACTTAGAAATTCTCCGTTACTTATACTATATAATATACAGGGTGGTCCATTTATCGTGAGACAAGCGACTACCTCGAATGTTGTTGCCTCTTGGAAGAAACCATATGACGATAACATTTTTTGACCTTAACCTTATTTTCAAGATCATATAAAGGTCACGTCCAATTTTTTAAATGACACCCTCTGTTTTTGATTGCAAAATCTGAATCTATGGATAAAAGAAGATAATTAAAAAAAAAATTACCGTGTGATTTTGCCAGTACGACGGCGAAACATCTTTTGTAGACAAAATCTAAATATTTTTTTATTCAAATAGTTTTAAATATTGTTGATTTATAAAAAATGATTAAACTATACTATTAATCAACAGCAAGTATAAAATTTATAATAAATGTTCAAATATTTCTCACGTTAAATGAACTACCCTGTATAGAATATGTCATATATCTGATGAAATGAAACGAAAATGATTTTATAGGTAAAAGCTAAAGGAGTGAGACAGCAGGTTATGCCAAAACAATTTTGCATAATTAAAAACTGTTTGTTTTTTTCTTAGAGTAGTTATATTAGAGTGTATCATTATTTAATGCTTATAAGTTTGTTCTTAATCTTACAATAATCTAAATCTTCTCCATCTGCTAGTAGATATAAACAATGGAGGTGTAGGTCTATAGGTTGTTCAGGTCACCATAAATACCGTGGGCACCCGCAATCTGGACCCTAAAGTTTATGGCCTCATCGTCCCACATCCGGTGAAGAGTATTCCGACTATTATCTTATTCCTATAGTCTCCTCAATACTAACTAAACGCAGAACAATTTCTCAATATAGCCCGCCTTCCCGGAATTATATCCCTTTATATATCGGGTCAACGAACATCCACATCCGCCTTGCTATCTTATCCCTTCTAACACACCATAAGATCTTTTTAAAAAAGTTCCCTTTTATAACCTTCTTTAATATGTAAATGAAGAATTTAAGGAGAAAAAGCTAACCGCGCCAGCTTAAAATAATCGCTTCACAAAAATAGCAGTCGCTTCCCCTTTGACTCCAGGGCCGATTTTCTCCACCCTCACAGTTTCGCGACCCTTGAATAAGTCATCTTGGCGGTTTCTTCTTGTTGCCTGTTAATGCCGTCGTCGTCGTGAAGTAGAAGGGTTAGAGGTCCATCTCAGATGTATTTATGCAGTGTGTGTTAGGGGGCCCGCGGTCCCTTGGCATTGCGATCAGGTAACCGGCCGTCTTAAAACTCCTTTGAGGAAGTTCGCCGAGCGGGGGACCGCAGGGCGTCTTAACCGAGTTTCTGTTTGGCGGCGGCGATTTCTTGTACTACGTCGGGCTAAGCCCAAGGATCTCCTTGTAGGTGTCGTGAGCGGCATCCGAATGCAGGACAAGATGACGATGGCCGCATAGAAGTTTGTAAAAGGGGAGGAGAGATGGTTAAACCCACGGTGTGAGCCGACCCACGGACTTGGTTATGTTTAATTTATTAGAGAGATGGGGAAAGTGTTTTCAGTTTGGTGTGGAATTCAGCTAAAGGAAGTTGTGGTCTTTGATGATTAGGGTGTTTATTTTTGAGCTGATAAAGATCTTATTTTTGATGAAATCAAACACGAAGTAAAAATGTTAAAAATGGATTTTTTTTCGTTGCATTCGTTTTTCTCCTCTCTTTTTTATATTCTCAGTTCTGAAATCCCTCTTTCGCGTAAATCATACCCGTAACGTCATCGGTACTAATTTATTTCCGCTATAGCTCAAATCGAGGGCGGCGGATGTTCGATTTCAGCAGTTACTCCCACCGGTTTCTTGAGACGACGAGAGGTGAGCTACTTCTTTCCGGGTTATTTTTGTCGTCGGGGCGACACGGTATCTTGGCTTTTGCGAATATCCGATCTGAAACGATGTTTTCCTCGAAATTCGAATATTAAATGGTACTGGAGAAATAAATCAAGTAGAAGATAAATAAAAATTTCTTCGCCAAACAAATTTCCTTGATATAAAAAACGGAATAAGTCATTTCATGTTTTTCGTGTTAGAGTACCATCAAAGACACTGATAATAATATGTACAATAAAAATCCTTGTCGACAACTATATTTTAGATATTTATTGTGGGCGGAGAGGAAAAAAACTTTTTATTAACCGTGCCGATTTCGCGTCATAGTACATTTTTATGGCGTTTCCAGC